ACTTTTTTAGAACTTAGACACAATTCTTCCCAATATTTTTAATCATCAGAGTACGCAACGTGTCATACTATGTAAAAAACGCTTGTAAGTGGGCTCTTAAACTATGTGCATTAAAAAAGTCTACTAAGCGGCGTAATTATTATAAGTCTATATTTAAATGAGGCACTTAGCGTAATGTTCTTTGAGTCAAAGAATCATAGTAATCTTTCGTTCCATTTGTAACATATATGTTTGTTAACAAACACACGTTTTCATCTTATGACGTGTAAATTACTGTGGAAAGAAACATTGTAATGATTAAAGTTTTGAAGTCTATGTTACTAACAAAAATTTAAGCACATACTGCCTAAAACTCAAAAGTGAAGTCTAGTGCAAAAACAACCTAAAGACAAGTTTAATACAAGTATATTATAACTATATTTTACTACGTGACCTACATCTATATTTATATTTAATAGAAATTACTAATGCCTTGGCCTAATGAACTTTCGACAGATACCTATACGCAAACTTTATAAAATGCAACATTTCATACTAAAAAAACCTTTTCATAGTTTTTTATACAACACTAGGACCCCACAATCAATTTAGCACCTTTGAACATTATATTTGCAAGATAAAAACAAAATGTAACTTGAGATTATCATAAATCTGACTCGTGCCAGGTATTACACAAAAAGAAACAAAATATACGAAAAACTAAGATTATTAAGTCTTACCATGTAAAAAAAGTTGAAAGGCAACAACTCAAAAGTTCATTAAAATATAAATATAAAAGGGCAACAGAAAAATTCCAATATATATCTTCTTACTTCCTGCCGTGGTCGCCAATGCGGATCAATATTAGGCTGATCCTACATAAAACACTTAGAACAATAAACCCACAATATAAGAATACATGATTTACCTTCTTTAAACTATCAACAATACTATAATATAAAAATAAACCGATATGCATTAGATCCTGATATAAAGTGTTACGTTCTTCGGACGGCCCAACTGTTATACGTGCCCGCTGTTCCGTATGTCCACCCAATGTTAAGTGAAGGTCTTCCTGTTTGACCGTTCTTCCCTTTTATCGTGCTGGCGCAATGCAGAATGCCAAGTACTGTTCTTTGTCGTGGTGGGACCAAATGGGTGAGCTCGTGCTAGGTCCAAACAGTCAAAAACAACAGATCTTCGGGTGTGGCAACTCCAACTGAAAGTTTACATCAGCCCGAGTGAGTAAAATTTTCTAGTTGTATTGTACTTATCGACCGCTCACGAACTCCAAGAATTGGCAATGCCGATTACCTACGTGCTAAACGCAATGTTGAATCTCCTGCCAACAAAACTTAACATTGTCCTTATTTTTATCATCTAAAACGTGTTATTGTACTAACTGAGCTGTCGGTATAAAAGACCGCTCGGATCTCGAATAAATCAGTCTACTTTTATTAAATTGGTTTAATTGCTGGTCGTTTTAATAAAACTCAGAGAACTCAACAATAACAATTTGTCACACATTATTAGTTTTGGTTCGTCTGACATAATTTTACAGTAGCTCATTTGTTACAGTCGTCGTTTTTTGTGTTTGTGCTCCGTTGTAATGTCCATCTTTACAGTGTTTTGCTTACAAAATAGCAGCAAATATTTATACTTTTCGCCAAAGAACGTTACTCCGCAATCAATTTTTGTAAATAAACATATTTTAAAGTCGTCCTGTTTATTAACAAATATTAAATTCAACATGTTGATGTATTTTAGACGTCAACTGTAACCCGACGTCTTCGCTCAAGTGAGCTGAACAAGAGTTTTGTTTTGAAAACACAATAACACCCACATACGTTTGTGCATGTAGTCTTGTGTCAATCAATCTGAAAATTGCAGATAAACAGAGAAACGTTGGTTACACTTTGGTCTTCCTCATTAATGAATTTGCGTCATTGCATATTTACATTGGTTTGTAATTGTTTTGTTGGTTGGCGATTGTGAACTTAGCAGCACATTGACCAAAGCCTAAATAGTGATTTTGGAGTACTGTATCTTGGTTTCTTGTCATCATTTTTGTTACACTATTCTTTCAAAGTTCAAGTGTTCAAATTACAGATTGTTAATTTAGGTATACAATATCGTCTATTTGTAATAACTTGGTACCATATGTCAGACAAGTCAAGTATATATATAACCAAACTTTTATGTTAAACAAAAATAAACTACAAAATCACATAGTATTGACCAGATTTGAGCTAGCCACAACCGACTGACTACACTATATTCATGTTGTGTCGTCGTCTTCGCTTTTCCCTGAAAAAGTATATACAGTGAAACTCCTGTATAAGTATAAAGAACTGCTGGGAAATCTGAAAGTTGTTCGTTATCCATGAACAGAGGAGTTTTGCTATACATCAGGTTTAATCTAGCAACTAAACATCCTCTCAAACTGTCCAAAAAACAAAATTCAAACTAAAAGATACGAAGACTGTTCAAAAAACACTGTTACATTGCATATTTTACACTTTTTTAAAACTTGTTATACAAATCAATCCAATTCATTTACGTCAATGATTAATAAGAAAAAAATTAAACCATCAAATGCAATTTCAATTCATCACAAAAGATACCAAGTATTAGAGAGGCTTTCAAAAGTATATAAAACTAAGAGATTGTTAAAAAGCTTGCTTATGAATAGGAGTGTGCAGACAAGTTGATTCTGTGAAAGCAGTAAGAATGAAGATTGTAAACAAGTCCATCTCCACACGGTTTTCGGGTTTCGGGTCGGAGTTGGGCGAATGAAGATTAGCTCAACCATTTCAATGAATTTTGAAAGTTGAGAATGACTATTAGAAAGACACGAAATTGTCTGTTTTTTGTGTTTTTGTGGGTTGTGTTTTGGGTTTTGAAAGGTTGTTGTTGTACAAGGGTTGTAGTTAGAAATGTTTTAAGTTTTGAAAGGTTGTTGTTGTGCAAGGATTCTAGTAAGACATGCGGAGGTGAATTTAGTTTATAGTATGTGGAAAAAACTATTAAAAATTACTATGCAGCAACTAAAATAACTGATAAACATTACTGTGCAGCAACTAAAATAACTATTAAACTACTATGCAGCATCTAAAATACCTATTAAACATTACTATGCAGCGACAAGCTCTTTTGTTGCTGCCAATGCTTTGCGTTATCAGTTATTACAGTGGAACTTCTTTTGGGTGACTTTCGATAGTATGATACTCTCTTTATAATAACGGTTTTCTGAACGCCCTTTGTAATAGAACATAGCAAAAATTATCATTATAGTGTGAATCTTGGTTTTCATGGCACTTTGGCCCACTCTCTTGAGTGTCAGACTAAAGAGATTTGGCTGTATGTAGAACGTACAACTAGACATTACTGCGCAGCAGTCAACACTTTTGTTGCTATTAATATTTTGCGTTGGCAATTTTACTGTCTGGATTTGTCTGTTTTGGTTTTCTAGTTTTTATAATTGAGTAAGATCACCTGGATCGAGCCCTTTTGGTAACAACTACAATGGATTGATTTGACTGCTTTTACCAAACTCTCAAAACCTCCATTTTATCTTTATCACCTGCATGTTTTTATTGCACTAACTGAGCGACCGGTATAAAAGACCGGTCAGCTCTTGTATAAATCAGTCTACTTTTGAGACCGATTTTGTTGTTGGTCGTTTTGGGAAAAATCTGAAACCTCGACGATAAGAATATGCCACACAATAATATTTAGCTGTGGTTCGTATAACATAACTTTACAATAGTGAATTTGTTTTATTTATGTGCTTTGTTGTAATATTCACATTTACTGTTTTACGCCGTTACTTCTCACGTTACATATCCTGCGATTAACTTGAGTAAGGTTTAAAAACTCCATTGTCCAAAGCATGTTCCAATATTTGTAATAGTAATGTCGACGTAAAGTTATGCGTTCGCCGATTCAAGCGCTAGTTTTAAATAATTTAATGCGTTCAAAGTCCCCCAACTTATTAACATCTTAATTTTTCGCTTGTAAAACAACTTTTCAATCAACAAAAAATGCATCATGCGGAGAGTGATGAGAGGGTGCGTTTCGGGTTTGCTTGTTCTCAACACATTCCAACCGCTCCCTTAAAAAACACCGAACACCCCACAAATATTTTTGGCGTTGTAAATAGCCGACTACTTTAAAATCGCATGAAATTTTTGAAAAATATTTCAATTTTTTTGCACATTCGACCAAAATAACCGTAACAAACAACATGTGGTATGGTGTTTTTTTAGAACGGGACGTAACGATTAAAGATTGCAAAAGTGATGACAATTTGGGTGTGGTGGGTGAAACTAAAAATAATAACACTGTAGTATGGCGTGTTTTTTTAGTATAGCAAGAAACCTGTTTGATACGGCTAGGGCCAGAACCGGGCGGGTACTTTTGGGTTTGGAGCGGGGGTCAAAAAAATTCACAGGGGGACCAAGTTAGTTCAATTTTTTAAAAAAATTTTTTTTAGGAGGGGGGGGTGGGGGGCTTTTTTAGTATAACGTTCAAAAGGCCGACCCAAGTCAGTATAGCAAAGCTGCTGCACTACTCAGCTTGGTAATGTAATTTATACCACAAGTGATGGTCAAAATTTGTCATTATGATAAGGATGTAGTACTGTCGAAAGTCATACTAAAACAGTTGTGACAAGTTGTAAAAACAGGGTCATTTTTGTATCTCAGAAGTACATTAACACTATTCTTACACTTCTTTACACTTCTGATTTAACTGAACATCGAAAAAAGTGATTTCGTAGAAATCGGTCGCATAATAACATTTAACACAACCTTGGACTTGTTTTCACCATTTCAAAGCTGTAATTAGATACAAAAATCAGTGTATAGTTCATGTGTCAAGAATCAACACACAAACAACATGATTTCTGAGTTGTAAGGTCATAAATAACAACTTTTGGAGGCGATTTTAACATGTTTTTGATTGAAAAATGTGCTCGAAGTTTAAAAGAAAATATGTTTTGCAAAAGTTTTGAAACTTACATGCATAGAAATGCGCTTGAGCCTGAGCTTCAGCCTGAGCCTGAGCTTGAGCTTGAGCTTGAGCCTGAGCTTGAGCCTGAGCCTGAGCCTGAGTCTGAGCCTGAGCCTGAGCCTGAGCCTGAGCCTGAGCCTGAGCCTGAGCCTGAGCCTGAGCCTGAGCCTGAGCCTGAGCCTGAGCCTGAGCCTGAGCCTAAGCCTAAGCCTAAGCCTAAGCCTAAGCCTAAGCCTAAGCCTAAGCCTAAGCCTAAGCCTAAGCCTAAACCTAAGCCTAAGCCTAAGCCTAAGCTTAAGCCTAAGCCTAAGCCTAAGCCTGAGCTTGAGCCTGAGCATGAGGGTGAGTCTGAACCTGAGCCTGAGCCTGAGCCTGAGCCTGATCCTGAGCCTAAGCCTGAGCCTGAGCCTGAGCCTGAGCCTAAACCTGAGCCTGAGCCTGTGCCTGTGCGTTAGCCCTAGTTATCACTGATGTAAACAAGTCTAAAAGTTTAGCTTCTGCCAATGCAAAAACAATAAAATATTTTACAAAAATGTAATCTTTGATATATGCTGTAATGTTAGTTTATGAAGTTCACATGTATAACTTTTTACTCTTACTGAAGATTTATGTTCCGTCATCCCTGGTAGCATACGTATAAAGTATGATAAATGGTTTCTTTGGCGTTCTTCTATATCGATTGTAATTTTTTGTTTTGTCAATTCGTTTTAGTTGGTTTAAAATTTCATTTTTGGTTTTTTTTGTAAAATACGTAACCTCGAAGGTGTAGTGTTTTATAATATTAATTTAATAAAAAATTGGTTTTGGCAAGGAGTTAAAACGTATTTAGGAGAAGGAAATCTGTGGCGACGTCTTCTGTAGATAGTATTGAGTAGCGTACTTTTATTTAGAATAAAGAAACCTGTGTAGCATACAGTCTTTGTTAAAGAGTACTGAACAGCATACAATCTCTGGTGGAGAGTATTGAGTAGAATAAGTCCATGGCAAAGAATGCTGTATGCCATACAGTATCTAGTCTCTGATAAAGCGTACTAGGCAGTATAAAGTCTGTGGTGGGAACTACTGAATACCTACTGTCATTTACGTTTAAGAAATTATTTTTATTTTTTTGTAATTTTCATAAAGCTTTAAAACTTTTTGTTCTGCAAAACCTGTTTCTATCAAAAAAGACCTGGAATGTGGTGCTATTCACTAAAAATATCATTATAATTTGATTTCCTAACGCTTCATTTTTAAATTTGTTTTTAACTTTACTTTTGCGCTTTGTATCTTAGTACAGTCGCTTAGGTTTCTAAACACAAAATTTTAAATTTACTATGTTTTATAGGAGCATTTCATAGTTTCTGTAGTAGCAACCCATAGTAAAGTTTGTTTTTTATTTCATAGTTTGTTATCTTTCTTATTTTAGATTTTAACAATTTTGTGATTTCAAACTATTAAACTGTTCATTAAGTTCTGAGCCTTCTAAGTACTAAAATTGTATTTAAAAGGTGGCTCAAAACTTTTTGAACAGCCTAATACGTTGAAATTTCATTTTTAAACCTTGTATGTTAGCTTTTTTAATGTCAACTTGCGTAGACGCTCTGGTTTCACCACCCCATCCCCATTATATGATACTTGTTTTTGAGCCCCCAAAAACTTCCTTGTCTGTTACTGCACACATCACAGTTCAGGGCTAAATTTAGGGTCCGCTTTGTCATTCCACCGACTCTGTTGATGAAATTTTCATGGTGAAACGACTTTTAATAGTTACATTAACCAGCTTTTTTTATCAATAAGAGTCCGTTATTCGTCAAACCGAAGAATTTTAATGCTCGAAGTACGTGAGTAAGCGTACGAATAAAAATGTAAAAGGAAGAGAAAGATGTCTCGGTTGTAATAAATTTTAAAATACAAAAATTAACAACAAGACGTGTCTTGTTTTAATTCATAAATAACAACAAGTGTTATTTGAAGACCTGAAAAGATGCTTACTAGACCCGGGCTCGGTCCTAGTCTCGGCTGTTTTAGATTGATGCCAATTTGAAAAGGATCCGGCCGACGCTTTTGAAGCCGGTGCTTGCGCCCCGATTCCCGATTCCCGATAACTTATATTTTAGTTCAATTTGGTTTTAGCGTTAGACTAAGACTAAACCTGAGTCCGTTTGAGCCTGGGCTTAAACCTGAAACTCAGCCGCAGGTTATGATTGAAGCTGAGTCTGAGTATGAACCTCGTGAGTTTCAGGTTAAGACTAAGCATGAGCGTTAACATGAGCCCAAGCCTGAGCATGGGCTTGAGTCGGAGTCTGTGCCTGAGCCTGAGCCTGAGCCTGAGCCTGAGCTTGAGCCTGAGCCTGAGCCTGAGCCTGAGCCTGAGCCTGAGCCTGAGCCTGAGCCTGAGCCTGAGCCTGAGCCTGAGCATAAAGCTTATTCTTTCCTTTCGCCTTGGCTTTCTGTTTAGCTCTAACCTTAGGTTACGCTTTATGCATATGCTTATACTTGAATTAAGGCTTAGGTATAGGCTAAAACTTCAGTAAAAGTTAGAGCTTATAAATTAGGCGGGTTTATATTCTTTCAATACTTTTTTGTGCCATAGGCAATGCTACAGTACTACCATAAAGTTTTTATTTTTTACTATAATATGTTTATTTTTTGTTGTTTCGTCAACATCTGTCTATAACATAGTTAATAAATACTTCTTATTTACAACAAAATTGTTTGTTGTCACATGTTTGACTAGGCTGGTAAGTGTCTGTTTTTATTTGATAGGATATTACAATAGCTTTAGCTTTATGTTCTTTACTTTTAATAATACCTCCTCCGTTCTCCCACGGATTTATCAAACTTTTCAATTCTTGCGTCTACCGTACCTAAAAAGTGCATTTGACTTTTGTAACTTTTGCTTCCTTGACCTTGTCTTCATCTTCAAACCTTCCCTTCTACCTGATCTCTTCCTTAATCGTATCAGCGCGGAATTCCAGCACGTGATGGTCCGAAATGGGATCGTCTGTGCATAATTAGTTGGGAACGAAGTGCATCGAATTAAATCCCTCTCCCCTATTACCACACCCAAAATCAGCGCAATCGAGTGGAAATGTAAATGTTTGGATATTCCGCTATTTTGGGAAAAACAATTTTAAAACGTGATGCAAAAGGCACAAGGTACAAGGGTACTGTAGAGCGAGGTTACAAACATTGGTTTTTGAAGCTTTAATTACAGTAACATAGAAATATGTTTAGTATTGAAATCAAATTTTAAAGTAATGTCAGAAAGTACATTGGGGTAGCAAAAAACCGGATAAGGGTTAAATTAGAGTAGGGTAGGACTGTAAAATTGCCAGGCCAGGGTGTGGGCTTTGGCCCTTAGGCTCACATGTGCTAGCCCTTCACAGCGTTTAAATATTAAGCTTGTATAGAAGCTGAACAAGGCTTAATTTTTCGGCCAGTCCGAACAGAACAATGATTTCGGCATTGGCCTTCGGGCTGATCGAGTCGGTGAGACCTCTTCCAAATTTGTCTTAGTGAGGATTTTTATACAAATTTATGAAAATAACAACTTATACAAGTTGTATTGTACTTTTCTCGCGGAACCTACGCTAGACCCTGGGGCTTCATTTAGGTCCGGCTCGACCTTTTTTAAAATTATGTTGTTTGGCCCAAGGCTAAGATTGGGACTAGTTGGCTGAGCTGTGTGCTGACTTCTTTTAAGTTTAAATTGAATGTAGAGGTAGAGAAAGTCTATGCTAAAGCGTTTGAGGCGAGATAAGACTAGTTGGTCTATTTTGAGCAATATGTTTTTTTAAATTTTTTCTGGCATTGGTAGTAAAAACCGCTGTATTTCTTTATTTGACTTCAAGACATCGTATATTGTAGAGACCAACTATATTGCAATTAACGCAAATACTTTTTTAAGAACAATTTCTCCAGTTGATTAGTGTTTTGGTAACAATTAGTTGAGTCGATAACGTTGAAAACACACATCACGCACCTGTATGTGATCTTGGAAAATTACCTTTTGTCTTATGGTAAAGTAAACTACACTTTCTGAGTTGTAAGTGTGCAACTAAAAACATTAGGCTAAATACTGAGGTTTCGATTTAATTTAATCTCCTTTACAAACAAAGACTTTAAGACAAAAAATTTTTTTTTCAAATTTTTTGAAATTTTATTTTATATTCATCTCTGACCCTAAAAGTTCAAAGCCTAACATTCCTTAACCAAAAAATATTTGTTAACTAGGTTAGGGTAGAGATGTTGAACTTAAGTGCATGGTGACCTGTATGTTTTTGTTTTCCAAACCTCTGTACTGTAGTTGTACGGTTGTTATTGATGAAATCTAGCTGTAAACAGACAAAAAGCCAGGTATATACTTGGAATTGTTTTTGGTACAAAACTGCTAATTTTGAAATTTGTAAATATATTACCTTAGGGTTTAAATTAGAGTGGGGGTGTCTTGGGGAGACCTTCTGATGGTTTTATGCCTTGTAGACAAAATTCTAAAGCATTTTTTACAAAAATTTTTTTTGGAAGTTTTCTTTCAAAATATTTTTCAAATTGCGATTTTTTTTCAAAATACTAGTAAACATGACCAATGCCAACACCAAACCCAATTTGCACTATCAACTTCCTCCATCCTTAATTTGTGGAATTGGAAGCTCGAATTCCCCCCCTTGATTCATAAACATTTGACCCGTTTCGACGCAGACGAAGCGCTTTTGTCGTCTAATCGATTTCGGTGCGTGACGTCGTTGATCCTGGTCATATGAGGATGTTAAGATTAAAAAGTTTTAAAGATGACGCATGTATGAGATTGCAAATACGACCACGATTTTACTGTATAAAAATGATACAACGATAGATACTAAAAAGAAGTTTATTAGCTAGGCCACATCATGGCTTCCATTGTGTTTTTAACTATGATCTTTTTGTTACAAAAAAAACCAAGAAGAAATAATTTTAGGTTTAGGCTTTGAGTTACGAAGCTTAAGTTTAAACACAGAGTTAGGAAGCTGAACTTAAAAAAACTTAAGTTTAAAAAGCTTAATCTTCGAAAGTTTACGCTTAGAAAGTTTAGTTTTAAAAGTTTCAGGCCAGTCTTAGAAGACTTAGGCTTAGCCGGTTTAGGCTTAAAAAGCCTAGAATTAGAAGGCTTAGGTTTAGAAGGCGTAAGCTTAAAAAAGCTACGTTTACAAGCCGACAGAAGACCGGACCGAAGCAGTTTAAAAAAGAACCGGGCCCGACACAGTGGGCCCATAGGTCAGGCCTAAATGACGGATCCATCTTAGGTTCGATTGCACCGCAACGAAAGATTTGGCATGCCTTCTGTTTTTTAAGTATCAATGTTTTTCATAGAAGCTGTACAATACAAATTGTTCAAACTTTTATTTTAATGAATCTATATAAAGTGTCGGCCCAGGCTCTTTTAAAAAAGCTTAAGTTAAAAAATTGAGCCGGCATCTTTACAGTCTATTTCTGAGTTTGAGCTTCGTTTTTTTCGTACTTTACAAAATGTGCTAAGGTTTGTATTGCCAAACTTCATTGATATTACGTTCCAAATTTGGGTTGAAAAATTTCAATATTTTGTTCTTTCAAAAATGTCATCATCATTACTATTTTCATCATCTTTGTGGACTATTTTTGTAAATAACTGCAAAATCTCTAACCTTTACAAACTAATTCGGGTGTTTTTCTTGCAGAAAACGATAGAAAAAAATTATTTTCGGTGGTTGGAAATTTTTGGGGTTTGGAATTTTTGTTGGGTGCATTCATAGCCCGCGGCGATTCTGCGAGCGTAAACCTCCAAAATTTTCTAAACAAATAAACGTTGGTGGAGAGAAAATTTTGGTGGAAAGCAGGATTCGTTGAACGCAAAATTTTTGGTTGGGGTTTTCTCCTCGAATCAGTATCGCAAAATTGTATAATTTTGGTGATCATAACAATATTTGTAACAGCAACAAGGGTCGTTAAATATAAATTATGGTAGGTGAACGAAATTTGATGATCAAACATTGGGTTTGAATTTGTAGACACGTATATACGTTCACTACAAAACGAAAAAAATGCGTTAGCTTTAAGATAAGCCAGCTCTAGTTCTAGCTCTAGCCCTAGCTCTAGTTCTAGCTCTAGCTCTAGCTCTAGCTCTAGCTCTAGCTCTAGCTCTAGCTCTAGCTCTAGCTCTAGCTCAAGATCTAGGTCTAGTTTAAGACCTAGCATCAAAATTTCCAATTCTTGTGGTTAACGAGCAGTTGTCTCTTGATAGTTATAATACTGCTTGACAAAAGAACTAGCTTCTTTATTTTCAACACGTAATAGCCAAATCAGTGCAATTCCGAATTCTCACGTCAATTCGTTTCATTTGAACTCCAATACCACGTGTAACCACAACACAATTTCTAAATTAAAATACCACGTGGTATTGCTGCGACTTGTTTCAATTCAAGTTTTCCAAAAATATGGTTCGATTCTCTTGCATCATGATTCATTAACCCAATCGGCTTTTTTGAGTTTTTCATTGTTGAAATATGTTTCTTTGACATTGTTGTAAAATTTTGAGAAATTCGGTTACAATTCGGGACAAAGTACAAAGAACTATTATAGATATAGAAGCAGCTTGTTACAGTGGATAAAGTTGTAAGACTACGTTATTGATGCATATAGAGTGTTGTAAATTGGTTACGTTATAAAAAATGTTGTAAAATATAATATGGATTACTTGTGATAGGTCAACTTGTCTCTTTTGATAAAAAGTGATTATAAAAGTAACAAACAAAGTCATAAATCCAAGGTTATTGCATTTATTTCGGTAAACGTGAATTAACTTTTCAATCTTTATTGGTTGTTTGATGAAAAGTCATTGTGATTTAGATTTTGATAAAGTTACCTGATGTTTTTATATGTTTAAGATTCTTGATTAACAAGCTTTTGTCATATATTTTTCTTGTCCTAAAGCCGGAAGAGTATTTGGTGCTACTATCTTGTAACGTTCAATTTGTGTTAGTAAGAGCGCTAGAGCTAGAGCTAGGGCTACAGTTATAGTTCAAACTGGATGTAAAGCTAGGAGTAGAGCTAAAGCTAAAGTTGGAATTAAAGCTAGAGCTAAGCTAGCTTTAGAGCTAAGACTTCATTTAGTGCTTGAGCTCTAACTTGGGCTAGAGCTCTGAGCTAGAGCTTGAGTTAGAGGTTGAGCTTGGGCTTGAACTTAAGCTCGGACTTAAGCTAGAATTTGGCCGTGAGCTTAAGCTTAATCTTGAGCCTAAGCAGGAGCATGTGCTTGAGGTGCAGGTTGAGCTAGAGATTGAACTAAAGCTAAAGCTCGAGCTTAATCCAAAGTTTGTGCTTTAACTTGAGCTTGAACTATGGCTAGTGCTTAAGTTAGAATTCTATGATAGAATTAGAGTTAGAGCTTGAGTTAGAACAAATTAAAGACAGGACTAAGGGTATTGTTAGGCTCACAATTTATATAGTTTTTTTAAATTTTTTTAAGATTAACCCTTAGGCTTGATATAATTTTTTTTCTTTTTATGATACTAAGGCTCAGGCTTTATAAATATAATTTGTTTTATCAAACTTGTTAATTCAAGCCCTTGTCAACCATGATTACAAATACTAGTTCACTTTATGTTGGGTGCGGTCCGCGTTCATTTTGTATACGATTGCGCTTTATTAACTAAAAAAACAATATTTTCGCTTTTTTCAACTACTACTCCAAAAACGCATGTAATAAAATGCAAGAGTTTAAAAAATTTAAACCCCAAAAATTTTGGAATTGCGTTTTAACGACTTCAGCGAACCCTATCGCGAATTCCAACGACAATGTAAATTTTCGTCGAAGAAAGGGATCTATTTATATACACATCGTTTGCGTTTATCATCGCAATTTCGAAGCGCAACAACTTTGGAAAGATTCTGGTGCAAAAATTTGATGATTTGTAAAGGTCGTATGATCGCATATTCATGCAATGTCATCACATGGGTCGAATTAAATTTGGAAGTAATGATTCAGAGAAATTTTTAAGGTCAAACTTCAAACATTGGATTAGAGTTTAATGTACTAGACATAAAAAACAATAAATTCTGTATAACGAGTTGCTCTTTTAAATCTTGTTTGTTATACATAGGTAAGTGTGTTATACAGGAGCTCTGTGGCTTAGGATAGGGTCTAAGCTCGGGTTTAATCTAGACCTTAAACTAGCATGTAAGCTATAGTTTAGAACAGAACTGAAGCTAAAGATTAAATTAAAACATAGGCTAAGGCATACACTAGGTTTTAGACCAAACTATAGTCTAGGTCTTAAAGTACGGGTTACGCTAGAGCGTAGACTACTACCTAGAATGTGGCTTAGGTTTCGGCTTAAACTAGAGCTGTAGCTAGGGCTTTTGCTGGTGCTTAAGATAAGGTTTACTTAAGGGTTTAGGTTCTGGCTTACATTAATGCAATTGCTTAGGCCACAGATTAGTCTACGGCTTAGGCTAAGACATACACTAGGGCTGCGGCTAGGGCTTAAGTTAAGGCTTAAGCTAAAGTTTAGGCCAGAACTCAAGTCAAGGCTAAAATTAGAGCAAAACTGACAGTAATTACAAAGCAAACTCAAAGTAGAAACCAAATATTTCATAAAATTCAGTCCTAAAATAGCTTGACAGACGTCTGAGTACTGATTCATACGATATAAAGATGTTATGTGTTACTAAAAATACTATTTACGGTGTAAATTACCATTTACTATGTAAAATACGATCAAAACAATGGTTGTAACAATAATACTATAGATGGTATTGTATGTTTAAAATATCATCATAAAACATAAGGTATTTTACGTAATACTAGAAGATTCTTTCGCAAATTTACAACGTTTTTTTCTTATTTTGGGTTTTTTTTAAAAGCAACGTTGACTTTAAACTATTAAATTGCTTGTTGGAAATGTTTTCATTTTTAAATTAGTGTGTAATTGACAGAGTTAAGTACAGTAGTACACAGCTAACAAACAAGAAGTTTGTTTTTATTGTCATTATGAGCTTGGTGGTATAAAATAGATTTTTTGGCTAGAGTAGGGCTAAAGCTAGAATTTTTTATGGCATATAAGTAGAGTTGTTAGCTAGTGCTGGAGTTAGAGCTGGGCTAGAGCTAAAGTCAGAGCTATTAAAATTTTTTTATAAGAGTTAATGAAGGAATTTTCTATAGGACACTTTGTATATACTAGGCCATGGTTAGGAGTTCTACTGTTAAAGATGTAGCTAAAGTTCAGGCTCAATCGCAAGCTAAGGCTCAAGTTCAGTCTCGTGATCTGGCTTTGGTTCTGGATCGGGCTCGGGCTCGGGCTTAAGCTCAGGCTTTGGCTCTGGCTCTGGCTCTGGCTCTGGTTCTGGCTCAGGCTCAGGCTCAGGCTCTGGCTCTGGCGCTGACTCTGACTCGTGCTCAGGCTCTGGCTCTGGCTCAAGCTCAAGCTCAAGCTCAAGCTCAAGCTCAAGCTCAGGCTCAGGTTCAGGCTCAGGCTCAGGCTCAGGCTCTGGCTCTGGCTTTGGCTCTGGCTCTGGCTCTGGCCCTAGCAGCGCCAGCTCTAGCTCTAGCTCTAGCTCTAGCTCTAGCTCTAGCTCTAGCTCTAGCTCTAGTTCTAGCTCTAGCTCTAGCTCTAGCTCTAGTTCTAGCTCTAGCTCTAGCTCTAGCTCTAGCTCTAGCTCTAGCTCTGGCTCAAGCTTAAGCTGAGGCTTGGGTTCAGTCTCAAGCATAGGTTTAGTCTCAAGATTAAATTCAGGACTAGGTTTATGCTCCGGTTTAGACTCAAGATTAAGCTTCGGCATTGACTCAAGCTCCGGTTGAAGATCAGGCTCAAATTTTTAAAAGTACATTTTACCTATAATTATAAAAATTTTGAAAAGAATTGACTCAAATCAAAAATCCAAAAACAAAGCCTTTTTCAAAATCAATTCCAAATCATTTCAACAAAACCCATCTTTCGACTTTGATCATACGACAAACCCTATTATGCTTCGCTTCGATTATCTCCCAACAAGTTGTCAATTAAACCGCAGTTTTTCGACTAATTGAGTGCTTCAGGGTGCGTTTGCACCCTGCTGTCTGTCGATTGGTTAGAAGCAAGCATTCTTTAGGGATTCCCAAAAAGTGTTTTCGAGAAATTCCTGGAAAAAGCGACATGTTTCGTTGCAATTTCTTAACGAAAATTTTAGGGTTTTGGCAGACAACTTTGATTTTTTGTGTAAAAATTGATTTCAGAACTTTGAGATTGAGAAAGAAGGATACTGTAAGGGTTTAGGGCAACTAAAACCTCACAGTATCTTTTGAGGCTTGGGTTTGCTTTAGGCTTAGACTGAGCCTTCAGTTTAGAATAGGCTTAAGTTTAAACGTAGGTTTAAGCTAAGGCTTAGGCACGGTCTTAGTCGTTGGCTCAGAATTAAAATTAAAATTTTGTTTAGACTTGTGCTTAAGTGTAAGTTACGACTTAGGCTTAGTCTTAGATTTAGTCTTAAGCTGCTGTTTAAGAGTTAGATTTAGGTTTGAGTTAGCTTAGGCTACAACATAAGCTTAGTTTAAAGCATGAGCTTGCGCTTAATTTTTATTTAGGGTTAAAGTGTAATTTTAGGCTTAGACTTAACGTTAGTTTTAGACATGGGCTTTTCTACTGTAATCTGTCTAGATTGGATAAACATAGTAAAAGTGTACACTTGAGCTTGCGCTTCAGCTTAAGCTAAATACTGTGGGTAACTGTGCGGTTAAGGTTAAGGCTAAAGCTAGTATTCAGGCTCAACCTAGGCTCAGGCTCATACTCAGGTTCTAACTTATGCTCAGACTAAAGATCAGGCTTAAAATTTTCGTTTAGGCACAAGCGCAGGCTATAGCCTAGGCCAAGAATATGTTTTATGTTTAGACGATGGCTTAGAATTTATATAAGACTTGACCCAACTTTTATTTTTAAATTATCAATTTTCTACTTTGCACTGTTGCTCTAAGTATACCTGCACTTCTATCATAAAATCTTGTAGAATTGTTTACGCGCTACATCATGTCACATTGCGATCGTAACACTCCGTCGTTGATTTATTGTGTGAGAAAAATTTTTTTCGCATTAAATTTTTTCTTTCTTCAAAATTATTTTTTTTAACTTTGAAAATTTTATACACGTATAATATTGAGAAGAGGTGTGTAAAGTAGTAAAAGTTATTTTCATTGAGGTATTTGGGTGTGGTAGTTTGTAAAATTTACAAAGTTTTTCAAGTTTTAAAAATTTGTGATTCTTTTTGTGATAGTTTAAAAGTACATAGTTTAGGAGTTTTTGGTTTTTTATATGTTGTGTATGTCTTGTCAAAAGCACGGAGTAGGCTTGGACTTCAATATGCCATAAACTAGGGCTAAAGCGACTACAACGACTAGGACCAATTCGATCCATTTAAGTTTGAGTCGAGTTTGAGCTCGGGTTAATGCTAGAGGTTAGTCTAACACTATGGCTGCGAGGCAGTGACTATGGTTAAGGCAAAGGCTAGGGTTTAGTATGCGGCTAAGATTTGGTTAAGGCTAACAAAAAAAAAAGATTAGTCTATTTCTTAAACTAGAACTAGAGCTAAGGCTAGAGCTAGTGCTAGAAATAAGGGCTAGAAGCTAATGGTAAAACTAGTGCTGAAAGTTAGGGCTAGAAACTAGGCTAGAAGCAATCTTTTCTTGGATTGGGGCTCTGGGCTAGAGCTTTGGGCTAAGAATCTAGGCTAAGGCTCTGGGCTAGGGCTAAAACTCTGGGCTTGAGTTAACGATAAACAAACAACACAAAATACAAACTCAAAGTACATCCAAAAATAGCTCCTAGTCTAAATTAATATCAACCAATTCTCACATGGTCAAGTGATATCACAACTTTTAAAAATCACATTATTTAACGACTAGTGACGACCCGTAACGTTCACTATATAACCATAAATTTTGCGCGAAAACGTTTTTTGGTTTATATTTAGAAGCAAACAAATAAAAATAACTTGTTGATGATGAACATAATTCATCTATAAAGAACATTGCTTATCAATGTTCTATATTGATAGTCATAACTTGTCGATAACTTGACAAATCAGGTTGATTAAGAAACTCAACTTGGTTTTATCGTGTCTTACAGGGTGCGCCAAAACTCGGACTAACTTTACCTTGTACTAAAATCATCATGTCTATTGTCGTATCATAGCCTTTTAGACTAAATTACTGATAATTTTTGATGTTTGACAAAACTTTTGTTGTTTTTACTACGGTCTTTAGCTGTAAAATAATCAGAATTGTTTTTATTTACAATTAATTTTTGGTACTTTACTTTGTTTCAAAATATTTTACTGTGGTTCTCGGGTGTAGTTACTAAAAATAGGTTTTGCTTAGGCTAATTACTTTTACAGTAAAATGAAACTTGAAAATCAAACCTTCTAAAAATTTTTTTATAAAAAATAGATTGCTACAGTACGTACGGTAGTGTCAGTGCTCAAAAAATATAGTACGTTTAGAACTTTACAGTACGGGGCTCCGTATGCTTAAAAAATAGTACGTTTAGTGCGTTTTGGAACGGAATTTTCTGAACTAAAACATAGTAATTTAATATCTTTACAGTATGATACTAGCCATAATTAAAAAGATCAGGCCTTTTTGGTTCTGAAAAACTGAAACTGTGACAATTTCACCTGTGCCATTATTAAATTTGTTTTGCCTTAAAAAATGTATTTTTAGCTAATTTAAAATTCGAAGAAACATACGTGTGCACTTTAATAAGATCATGTTTTTGGTTCCGTTTATTAGCGCTGAAACGGGTGACATGATTTTATAATTATATCAAAATGTTTAAATTTGTGGCTTGTAGGTGTAGATTGAGGCTAAGGCCATACTGTAATTGTTTTTAAAAATAGACCAAAACTTAGCTTTAAAGTTATGCTCAGACTTATGTTTAGGCTTTAATTAAAGCATAGTCTGAGGCATAACCCTAGATGCTGGCTTTGGGTTAGGCTGCTTAGGCCCAAGCTTAGGCTTAAACTCAAGCTCAATTCTAAGATCAAGCTCAAAATTAAGCTAAAGCACAGACTCAGGCTCATGCTCAAGCTCGAGTTGATTCAAGTTCTGTTTGAAGCCCAGTATCTTGCTCAGGCTTAGGCTAACTGAAGCTCATTTTAAGTTTAGTCTTTTGCTCAGGCTAAGGCAGCTTTTGATAAATTTTGTAAATTTTTTTATATTCACTTTGCTCACTTACTCATTTTATAGAATAATGCGAAAAATGACATAGGATACGAACAGCTCATGTGTTGTCATTTCTGCAAAAGGGAACAATAAATTTAGTTTTTTAAGTGCAGGCCTTAATTGCTTTACATTTTCTATAAATGAAACCAGCCAAACGTCATTTTTATTGTGTTTAGGCAAAGTAAAAACGTAAAGATGGACACGTTTTTAATTTTTTCGGAGGTGGGTTCCTTCTTACATTTTAAAAATTGCTTACAAATCACATTTTAAAACCAAAACTTAAGTATAAACTAAAAGTGTTATCACTATCCACTATCAAGACAAAATTAGTGGTTTTCAGCTACTAAACCTTAAAGCTTTTCGACCAATTTAATTTCTTGAACTTAATTTCTTTGTTAGAATGCCACTCTTTTTGTTGTACTATGTGTGTTTCTGCCTCGCGACTACAAAGAACTTTTGTCAAAGCAGTATACTGTTACAGCCAAATCAAATCGATTATTTTGATTTGTGACGCAAACGGTCAACAATGTCACCAAATTAATAGGGTAACCTTGTAAATTGAAATTGACTAAATTTGATCTGTGTCTCAAGGGTGTTGAACTAGAATTACACTAAGGTAACTTATATTGGTAACAAAGATAAGAATATGCTCTATAGTTGTAAGCGTTATAAGGCTAGGCTTAGAATTCTTAGAGTTGATAAGCTTAGGTTCAAATATAGGCTTCAAACTAAAGCTAAAATTAAAGTAAAGGTAAACGTGAAGTTAAGGCAAAGATCAAAGTTAAGGTTAAGCTTAAGAACAAACCTAAAGCAATGCTAAGCCTAGAGCTAAAGCTAAGACTTACGCTCAATCTTAAGCTAAGAGTATTGATAAGATTTAAGCTCATGCTGATGCTCAGGATAAAACAGGCTTAGAAAGGCTGAGGCTAAACCTATAGTTAATGCCAAGAGGAACGTATTTCTCTAATTTCCTTGCAATTGTTAATTGTTTCTCAAATAGTACTGTAGCATTTATTGCTAAAAGTAAATTAACCGTTAGTTCATAAAAGCATGTAAAAGTTAATGACTTATTAATTACGTTTACGTTATTTTTGATCCATTAACCGACAAAGTACTTTAAAAGTCATTATTATTATGTAAACAATATATTTTAGGCAACAAATAAACTATTTTTAGTAAACACAATAACTGATTTGGCTGGTAGCGCTTATTTACAGTACAATCATTAATAGAACAAACTTTTTACAAGAAATAACTTTCTATTTTAGTAGGGTAATAAATAAAAATTAAAAATATCTGTTTTGAGTACAGTATTATTGCGTAGTAACAACAAATAATTGAGTAGAATTACTCATTAAAAGCTTAAAATAGGTTAGTGAGTCATAGTGACGTAAAACCTGTTATACTGTAACTTGAATTCCGCGAATCAAACAAAAATAGATTATTTGCTGAACGGTTTATTGAGTAATCATTCTGATACTGATCTTGAACGTAGAGCTCATGTTGTGGTCAATAATTTTGAATTTTTGTCTTGAACTTTACTGTAAGGCTAAAAAAAGTTAGATGCTAAGGTAGGGCTATATTAGAGATATAGCAGGGTTGTAGTACGGTAAAGCAAAATAAAGCTAAGAAAAGCTATAAATTAAGAGTAATGCTAAGATAGGATCGGGCTAGCTAAGGTAAACCTACTAAAGCTAGGGATAGGCTAGGACCAGATAAAGTAGGTTAAAGCAAAGAGCTCAGGAAAGTAATGTTAAGATAGGATAAAGATAGGCTGGGCTAGTCTAAGACAGGCCTAGAGTAGAGCCAGAGTAGGACTAGTGTAGGGCTATGTTAGGGCTACGGTGAAGCTAAGGTAGGGCTAGAGTAGGGAAAGGATGAGGCTAGGGTAAGGTTAAGGTAGGGCTAGGGTGAGGCTTAAGAGACTAGGCTGGAGTTAAAACAGGGCTAGGGTAGGGCTCAGGTAGAGCTAAGGTAAAGCTAGAGTACGGTAGAGGAATGCTAGCTTAGGTCAATGGTAAAAGTAGTGTAACGCTATAGTGGGTTATGAGGCCCTGACATTTAATACCGCTTCTGACGTTGTACCATGTGGGAATCCAAAAAAATTGAAACATGTTGCTTTGCACGCAAAAACAAATATCGTGTTTTTCCTAGAACCTCATAACATATGTTCAACTGCAATGCGTCAGATCAATAAACGATCGTTTGCAACTACGTAGATCCTTACCTACGTATAAGCTGTAATTGGATATCTTTTGCGTCATCTGTTTTTTAGCTTACAATTGTTATATGGAACTTTGATAGCTGATTTTTTAGCATAGAGGTTTACTTTTTTAAATGTTAGCTCCCGAATCAACGTATTTTACACTATACATATATAATAGCGCTGCGGTAGGGTAAGAAGTAAGAGTAAGATAGTGGTAAATCTATTAAAGGCTACTAAAGCTAGACTAATACTATATAGGGATAAGTGTGTTAGGTAGCATAAATTAGGGTAAGGCTAATACAGAGTTATTTGAGGAAGCTTTGCATACTGTATTAAAATATTTTACTTTAAGTTTTAGCCCAACTTTGCACTTTGTCTTGTTTTTCATTGGTTGAGAGACTTTTACTTTCTTGGTTGTTTTTGGTTTACTTCAGAATCAAAGCAACAAAAACTTTTATTAGTGAAGATAAAAAAACTTTTTGAAATTCTAATGTCTAACATATTATGTCACGTACATTGTCATAGTTAGGGCCCGCTGAAAAAGTTGTTTGTTGATTTTTATTGTCGTCAGATTTCTTCAGCGATTTCTTAATGATCTTTGACACTTTTTCGAAAGAAAACAAGCGTATCTTTTTAAAAAACCATTAGTCATCGTTTTGCTTAGATGTGTAAAATACGTCAGCAATGTTAGAGGATATTGAATAATGGGGGGGGTAGATAAGAGTAGTTGAAGCTGGGACTAAGATTAGGGCAAAAAGCTAGACCTGAGGCAAAACGGAAGCTGATACTGAGGCTAGGGCTGAAGCTGGGGCTGTGGCTATGGCTATGGTTATGGCTATGGCTATGGCTATGGCTATGGCTATGGCTATGGCTATGGCTATGGCTATGGCTATGGCTATGGCTATGGCTATGGCTATTGCTATGGCTATGGCTATGGCTATGGCTATGGCTATGGCTATGGCTATGGCTATGGCTATGGCTATTTTCCCCTCTCTCCTCAAAATTGTTTTAATGTCCACACTAGCAACTATGAAACACCTATCAATCATAACCCACCCCCATTGATCGCTTTTAGCTCCCAAGTTCACCCCCACAATTCCCTTTTCTCGACCGCAAACTTTTGAGAAGAGTCATTGACGTCACGTCTCTGAGCTGTTGACCTGTTTTCCAACTTTCTCTCATTTCGTGTCGTTCTTTTTTGCTCTCTGCTTAGGGTGCGGGTCTTGTTAATGTAAAATGAATGGTGGTTTGATGGGTTCGAAATTCGAATGAAGTTTGGGTTTGGTTTAGTATTGAGGAGTTGTGGCGAGGGAGGAGGGGTAATAGGGGAAACCTTGAAGTGGACATATTAGGTTTAGCCCTAACTTGGCTTCGGCTTGGCCTTGACTTGGTGTTGAATTGGCCTTTGCTAGGCGGTGGTTTGCGCCTAAATTAGCCTTAGTTTGAACAGGTTTTGGCTTTGGATTGGCCACGGCTTGGTCTTGGTTTGGCCATTGCTTGGTTTTGGCATAGTCATAGCTTGGTAAATTAGCTTTGGCTCGGTTCTGTCTAGTCTATGGCTTGGCTTTGGCTTGGCCTTCAATTTCCCTTTTTTTCACCTCGGCTAGCCATTGGATTTATCTTGGCTTGGCCCCGACACGGCCCCTGGCTTGGCTTGTTTTTGTTTTGGCCTTGTCTTGGCCCTGAATTGGACTTGGTTCAGTTTTGGATTGTCCTTAACTCGGCTTTAACTTGGTTTTGGCTTGGTCTTTAGTTGGTTTTGTATTGGCTTTAGCTTGAGCTTGGCCTGACTTTTAATTAGCTCTGGCTTGGCTTAGATTGTCCCTGGCTTGGCCTTGACTCGTCTCTGTCTTAGTCCTGGTTTTTGCCTCTTTCAAGTCTATTAAAATTGTTTTTAAAATGTTTATCTTTAAGGCATAAAACTGCCATTTTAAGCCACTATCTAAATTAACCGCTATCGATTTTGTCTCAAACCCGGGTGATTCGAAGTCCTATTGAAAAACGTTGTTAAATAAAAATTTATCGCCGCTGGAACGGTTCGAAATTAGTTGTTTCTTTCTATCTTTACCCCACTCTCCTTATTATGTACAATCCGTTACATTTCAAGGAACCACACCCAAATAACACATAAAGAATTGTTTCGCGCGGCTGATTATGTGAAGGGGATGGGTGCGGTCAGTTTAATTCGAATTAAACAAGATTTTCAAGAGTTGGTGGGGGAGGGGTGAGTATTTTGATCATGCTTTGAGTGTAGTTCCATTTCACAGCGGACAGTCACATCCTTGATTTAGTTGCGAATGGAAATTAGGTATCTGCACGTACGTAAAATTAGGGCTTAGTTGTGGAGAATTAAGAGCTGGTAAACATATAACAGGCATGTGTTTTGATAGGTATTGATTGTAGTTTAGTTCAAATGCTGTAGTAAGGGGATACATAGTATATGTATTATACTTCACTATAGGTCGACCCTTAACCCTAGCTTTCATCTAGTTTTGCTTTAATTTAGTTTTGTTCAATCTTTGCCGACCTTATCCTACTCCAACCGTGGTAACTACCCATATCTATAACATTAATTGGCTTGCACAATACTTACTGTAGCTCTTTTTTAACTCTATTTAGGCTTTTTCTTATCTAACTAACTCTTTCGAACTTAGTCTTAACTTGAGGGTTAGGCTTACAAAATATTTTTATAGGTTAAAAGGTACAAAGACGTTGCCCTTTTACAGAGCTTATTTGCCATTCGGAAAAGGTCAGTGGTCTTGAATTAAAGGTTAAAATATCATGGGAAAGTCAAGTTCAACGAAAGCTTAAAACACATTTGAAACACAAAAAAGAATTACAGTAACATAAACTAAAAAGGCAAAATTTAAAACAAGTAAGCAGGATATCAAGCCAAATTCTTTTTTTTAAGTTTTAGTTTTTTCCATCTTTACCATTACCTTTTCTTAAGAGTTACTCTTCTACTATACTTTTTACCAAAGCTTAGCTTTAACAAAAACACATACAGAAAACATACCTAAATACAACAGTAACATGTAATGCTTGAGCTAGGGTTTGAGCTAGAACTAAAGCTAAGGCCCAAAATAAGGCTACAAACGGTTTTCTAAATTTTCTTAAAATTAAAACACATTAAAACTAAGCAAAGCATAACTTTTACAATAAACACATACATTTACATCTAATTATAATTAGTCACACTAAGTACCAGTCAAATGACAACCACATGACACCAAAGAACACATGATCTGGTGTTCAAAAAGCATGATATTATAATATGATTGAAAAATTTAAAAACAAGGTCAAAAATATTATTAATAAGGGTTGAACTAAACATGTTGAACCTATCAGTCATGGTTAACATGTTTTTTGCTTTTTTATTTTTTTTTTGGTATTTGGCTATGTCTGAAAAAGCTTTTTTTGCTTTTAGAAAAGCTTTAAAGCCCAAAATCATCTTTTTTTTAATTTTCAGTTTTAAAAAATTTAAATTTTCAAAATTTGTTAAAATTAAGCTTAAAGTCATTAATCAAGCCTACAAGTTATATTTTTATAATTTTTATTGATTTTTTCAAATTTAATTGAGATTCATACGAATGGAGATCGTTCGCCTAACAAAGACTATAACAACAAGAAGAGTGTTCTACACGTAAAGGCATGTAAATATACAAAAGAGAGACCGACTGAGCAACAATTACAACGAGATCAACAGTATGAACAATAATATAAAGCTAAACATAACATTATTATTAAAGATAGCACCAGTTGCGGAAGTGAACATGGTAAAATGCTTTGGTATGGTGGGGTGGATCTTGGAGTGGGTTTGGTAGGCGGGTGGTGAAGTGATGACATTAATGTAGATGGTGATAACATTAAGTTTATAGTAGAGTTGGTACTGTTAGTCGTCCAAATAGTACTGATAATGATTGTGGTAGTACTGATAGTAATCCAGATAGCACTAATAACTCAAAAACCAGTCAGTACCCTTGAGATCAGACCATTCACCATACTGTAGTCCATCCAAGCCAGTCCAAACGTCAGCTTTTTCTAACTAAAGAAAGACCCAAATCGACCAGTCGATTCCGGCTCATGGTAGAAGAATCTAGCCTATAATGTCTAGATCTCGTCGACATACGATGTGTTGATTGTAGCTCAGTAGAGGTCGGCACAGTCGTCAGTGCCAAAGCGCCAGGGTGGCAAGCAGGCCATTTCGCTCGAAACGACCGGTAAATTGTGAAAAAAGTGGAAAAAGCTTCAAAAGGCGGAGCTTTTGAAGCCAAAGAGATACTGTATTAGCTGTAGTAGCTACTGTAGTATCAAAAAATTTGTATATAGTACCGAGTGTTAAGCTCTGTACTATAAGGCTATTGTAGAAGAAACGAGGCTACTGTAGTACTGTAGAGTCTACTGTAGAAGCCCGTATTCCTATTGTAGAACGTAGAAGCCCGGTATACGGTTCGAAGCCCTGTATACGGTAGCAAAGCGTTGAGAGTGGGTTTTGCTTGTTTGTGTCGAAGCAGCGACTCCCCGCTCTCGTCCACGCTTTTATATCACCCGTCGCCCCAGCCCACTCTCTCAGCTGCCCCGCAGGGCGGGGTCGAACGCACTCTCGCCACGCGTGCCCCACCCACCGAATGACCCTGCGGAATGTTTTGGGCTGAAAAAAACGTCGCTGGAATTTCGCGAATCGACCACACCCAACACTATCGTCGTCTGACGGTCTCTACGCGATTGTACGGATATGAGTGTTGTTGTATTGTGTTTGGCAGTCTCTTAAGATAGTATGGGTATAGGCGAAGATGTATGGTGTCTGGTGGTCTCTAGGCGATTGTATGGGTATAAGAGAAGATGTATGTAGACTGGCAGTCTCTTGGTTTAGTACGGGTATGAGTAGAGATGTATGATGCTTGACGGTCTCCCAAAACTGTGTATGTTCTAGAAACGTTGAGTTTGTGTCTGCCGGTTTAGGCTTTTTACAGTAAGAGTTAAGGAAAAGAAGAGGAAGAAGTAAAGGGAAATAAAAACTATTTTTACAGTATCATACAGAAAAAACATGATTTTATAATATCAAAAAAAGAAAAAGGTTTAAAGTACAATATTGATAGTGCTTAGAAACTTTTTACTGTATTGTGTTAATAGTACTGTAAAACGTCTTGTAGTATTGTATTCATAGTACTATTAAACTTTTCACAGTATTGCATTGCTAGTACTATGAAGGTTTTTACAGTACCGTTTGGATTATACTAAACAAACATTTTTGTAACAATACTATGTTTATAAATATGCTTGTTACAGTACTATAAAACATACTAAAATATTCGTTAGTGTTTTGCGTACTAACAAAAATTGTTTATGGTTGTGTAAAATACGTTTATTTTAGTTGTGTTGGTTTTTTTCTCTCTTTCTCTAGAAACTTCTTTACATTTCGCTGTTTCAATCACATCTGTAACAACTCAATTAGGCGTGGCATTTGTCTCGTCGTCTCGAAAACTCTCGATTTACCTGTGTTTTCTCCAAACTGAATTGAGGTGTTTAGGTAAGTATAAAAATTACATTAAGCTTTTTAAAATTTTAAAATTTATGTACTGAAATATTTTTTTTGATTTTAAGTTACTGATTATCTCAAAAAACGATTTTATAGTTAAAATTAGTATATTTTTTTTTTAAATTACCGGGCACAGTCTTAGCCTTAGTTTTAGCTTGAGCCAAAGCATGAGTATAACCTTGAGCCTGAGTCTGATTCTGAGAGGAAGCTTGAACTTGAGCTTGAGCCTCAGTCTGATCTTGAGAGAAGCTTAAACTTGATGCTGAGCTTGAGCCTGGAAATTAACCTTACTCTTAGTTTTATCTGTATGCATAGATCTAACCTTGGCTTAATAAACCATAAACGTTTTATAGGGTATCACTTCATTAACTCTTCTTAATAAAAAAATTTAGTAGCGCTAACTTTATCTAAGAAATCTCTGCTCAAAGATAACGTGTTTGTTATAAAGTATTTGGTATAAAGGCGTTCGTTATACAGGAGTTATACTGCAGCCAGGTGAAAAGGTAATAG